TATATATATATATATATATATATATATATATATATATATATATATATATATATATATATATATATATATATATAACCCATTTTAGTTTACAATGGAAAACAAGCTGAAAATAGAAGTACGAAAAAAGAAACGGATGGAAGAATTGACATCGTACTGAAGGTCCACAGTATCTGATTGAAGTACCCATTCACGATTTTATCTCCACGTATTTGTTCAAACAAATATTACAGAAAATGTTGAAACAAGTGTTGCAATTCATGGGAAGATCACTGCATAGCAAAAATTATCATAAGTAATGGAAGTGATAAGTACGAATAACGGATGCGTCGAAATTGTGACAATATTGACAATAAGAATTATAATGTTGGTAATAATTCGATAAAGATGGTGTGCAGACAAAAAATTGTCTATAGCAAGCAATCAAATATAAAAATACATCGAAGTTATATATATTATAAAATGAAAAGAGAAAATTTTTTGTAATGAAATTTCAGAAAAACATACGTACCGCAGTAAAACCAGAGAGAAAAATCGTAGAAAGATGCACTGTCTGGACAGCTGGTAAAGATTTCAAGATTTTGTTGAAAGGCCACTTCTACATAATTACCATGACAACCTCATCAAAACGGCTTTCTTTGTTGAACACTAAACTTTGACACCCTTTATTTACCTTCCCTTCACTCGTACTATTAACGTGTAAATCAATCAAAACTACTACTTTGTCAGATTTATAGCAGCAGATTGTCTAATGCAAATTTGTTCTTGTTGTGCTGTCTCTCTAACCTGAGTTTTTATTACTTTAAAGCTCTAATTGCTCCCGCGATATAATTTCATATAATTTCATCGTAAGTGATGCTTAAACATTTCCCGTCGTTTTTTTTTTTCTATTACAATTTTTGTTATTGATAGTCAGAAAGAAAGAAATCATTTAACATTAATTTTAAAATTCATTTCATAACTCATTTTATTGGTTTGTCAGGTTACATTTTATCAGCTCATCATGTGTTTATCATATTATTATCTTCATGACATGTGATTTGAAATGCACCCTAAAGTTCTTTGAACGAGCTCAGTCGTTTTTGTACATTCCGTAAACCATATCTTTTCTTTGGGTACTAATTTCCAAGCTGATATGAGTTTTTACCGATAAACCATAAATGTATTCTTCTGAGTCCGAGTAATGTAAGGAACTGGGTTAAGACATATGTTACAAACAGCGCAATAACAAGTTCTAGAGTTTACCACCCTGTAGAAACTAAAAGAAGCATAGGAAATCAAATTCACTGCGACATGCATGCGTTTAATACATGATGGAAAGTGCATGCTGTGTGAGAAACATCCCATTTACAGATATTATCAATAAAACCGGTCAAGACAATTAATCAAAATGAAATAGCTCATATGAGTTGATACATTTTGGAAATACTTAAGATGAAGATAACTTGCACTGTCATCACTGCATCAGAAAAGCTATTATAAGATCGTTTGTTTCGAGATTTTATAAAGGAACAAAAAGCAGGCATGTGTTACAGTATTACAGGGGTAATGAAGATTGTAGCAGCGATGACTGTCATCGTTATTCATGCATTATTCCACATAGACCTTTCAATGAAGAGAAAACACATTGCACTTGCGAAATGTGTTGTGGTCAGCCAGAAGCGAAAACAGCAAGGTGGATTATCTGGAGACGAAGTTAATAAAAGAACTGATGAAAAGATAACGAACGGTACAAAAAAGCAAGCCATTACTCTTTTTTCTAACTAAAATCACCGTTTTTAACTTCTCTTTCGAGAGACTGATGATAATGAAAACATAAGATTATAGTAAAATTTAGCTATTATAGACAATCCTCCAACACAGCTTGTGGAATAGCATTCAGTATGACAGTTTTCTGCTCATTCACAGATTAACTCTTAAATTTTGACACTTTTATTGTTAGCTGACCATTGTCATTTATCATATTTTTTCTCATCAAATGCATTGGAATTAGTTAAAAATTGAACGAGATGATATATGCCAGTATTATGACTTATCTTACTATATACGAGAATTTCTGTTGGTTTTGTATTTTGAGAATTGGAAGAAATAATTACAGTAACTAGAGAATAATCCAACGGTGTAACAGTTGTAACAGTTATACAAAGTAAGCAGCGTGATTTCTTGACTTCTGGACAGGAAACTTAAGTTTCAAGCATTTGCATTTCTATTGCATAAGGTATTCAACATTTTTGGTTTATAAATAGCACAGAGCTTACATTTCTCCCCCATCCACAGGAATGCTTAAGTTTAAAAATGACAATTCTTGTGCTTTTCAAGGCTATCTGTTCTCTAAAAACGATGATTTTTGCTGGTTAAACATAAAGACATTAAGGATATTATTTTTATATATGATGAAATTCATAGCACTTATGTGCGCATTGGGTATAAATTAATTATATGTGTGTGCATGTGACAGGAATAAGGATCTATAGAAAAATGAGATATGGAGTTCGCTTCAAATGTTTAACTGCATTGCAAATGCAGTTTAAAACAGATTTTAGTTTTTGAATAGATGAACAACTTAAAAGCATTTATTTGATTAAAATAAATACTATTCGATTTGTAAAAGATGTTATCTTGAAGGAATCAGTTTTGGAATATAAAATTAATCAAATTTGAAAGGTTATTGTCCTATCCTCTTTTAATATAATTTATATCTATAATAGATAAGTCGAATAAATGAGGCGTTTGTTGATTAGTATATATCTGCTTGTTTAAGTATACGGTGGCAAAATCACTTCGTTACATAACTACGGCATACGACGCTGAATGTTTATGTAATTCTGTTATTTGTCATTAATTTGATCTGTAACTGTGATTCTTGTAATTTTGCAAAAATAGTAAAAATATTATTGTCATTTTCCAATTAATTGTATGGTTCATTCTTCTTTTCCGCTAAATAGTTTTTGTTTTCAGAGAGTACGATATGGATAACAACCACAGCTCCATGTTACTACTGCGATCATGGCCACTTGCGTGATCAGTATGAAGATCAATATCAAATTATAGCCAGTAGTGAATTTGAATATTTTCCATATATTGCAGTCAGTTAAAATAACCTATCAATATCCTAACTGATAGTTGAATTAAAAGTAGTTAATGGTTTGATATTACATTACGATCATCCATCATAGTACTCATACAGAACTATTTTCGGCGTGTGTTGCAAGAAAATATGATTAGTTCCAAATGTGATTGGTTCTGACATAATCAATCGTAATAATGACAGTAAGTAGGAAAGAGATCACTATCCACTATTGAACGAGAGCGTTGTCAAAGAATTATTTCTCGTCAATGACGCTGTAACTGTATTCCCTACTAATTATAGCATTAAACGCAGAAGATAAGAAAGCAGTGGAGAACATTGTTGATGGACAAAAACGATGGCGAAAGGTTATCATTGAAGCGATGGAAGTACAAAGGGCACGACACTATAAGCAATCGCTCAATTTGCACCACAGACCAATTCTCGACAATAATGATAATCGAAGTATTGATGTTCAGGTCTGCCATCTTTTAGAACAAACACAATGCAGTAAAGTTAAAGCTTAAATGATAAAGCAAAAAGATAATGTATGCAAGGGAGTGATCGATTCGTTATGCGAATCATATTTGGCGCTTTCAAAGCCCATCAATATTGCGCCGCGTTAATTTTATTCACATTTGAGGATGATCCGACTAATTAGACATTCAATATAAAAAAAGAAAAAATGAAATGTGCATAATTATAATGGCGTAAGAAGTCCTGGAAGTTGGAGTCATTTCGTTGCTTACTTGGCTAATAGTGTAGGTTGTAAATACGTGTGGCATATATATTCATGTATACAACGTATATATATGGTGTTTTATATTTAATGATGGCAGAAGCATATTAAGGTGGCATCATAGCATATAAGCATCAATGAATTAAACGAAAATCAATGAAAGATTAGCTAGCTATAATAGGCTCAAAGGGAATATAAGCTTGACCATTTTGAATGGATTTCAACAGTTAATAATGTTATTATCCTCAAAAAGTTGTTTGTGACTAAAATTTATTTAGAAATTGTCACATTGATGTTAATGAACGTGATACACACAATATGGCAATGAGATGACGATGCCACTGGGGTAGACAATATAGCACGAAATACATCTACGAAGCTATTTTAACAGAGCATGAAATATTTTAAGTAAAGTAAAAGAAACAAGACAAGATATTGTTATCATAGAGACAATCTTCATGGCTCTATGTTTCAAAGTTGAACAGAGGTGGTTTTTCGATGGCGAAGAGTTAGAATTATACTGATTATAAAAGTTTAAATAAACAATTAAAAGGAATGGTGCTGTTGTCGATTGCAATGATAAATTGGGTTCAACATATTACTTACTTGTATGACAGTGAGAATAATTTTATTCATAATTCAAACAATTACTTTAGCATGCAATTCTTCCGAGCATTTGTTAAAACTTTTTATTGTATTATAGATTGCTTGGAAGTTAACAAGAATGATATATGGTAATGAGAGTGTAATAATCTGATAGCTAAATTGATAGAATTCCAGAAGCTAGAAATAATTCCAAATCATGTATAGTGCACCTGGATATGTGTCTTGTTAATATGTAACAGTTTGTCGGGAACGGTTTTTCTATCAAGAATACTATGCCGAAATACACCATAGCAGCCAAAAATTAATAAAGAGGATGAGTACTTGATTATTTCAGTACCCAAGAGCAGAACGTCATCCATATATGCGATATGCAAACTGTTTCTCTTTAGTTTAATTATCCAAGTTTACATATTTTTGTGAATGAAAAAAGGAGAGATAGGTAGAACTGTAAACTTCAGCATCGTTGTTTACCCGGGGAATCAGAGCATGAAATAATTATTTTTTTTTCTGCTTTTTTTTGAGTGCTTTTAGTTGCTAACTAAGTGACCAAAGAACTTTACTTGAAACTAGGCAATATTGCGATTTCCACAATTTACTCATAATTTTCCGAAAGAAAAATGTTAACAAAGTGTAATGGATAAGTTTGATATATGTGATTGTTTTTTGAAGAAAAGGATAAGTATAATGAAGAATGCTTCTAATTGAACTCATTTAGCATTCTACTTCATAAACTAATAGTATAGCATATCAAATTCACTGTAGTTGATAATAAGGGCAAACGAATCATATTTTATTGTTGTTAAACAGTCATCAACATGTCAGCTCATGAAAATTATATAAAGTTATAGTACGACCCAAAATTGATCAATTAGACAATTCAAGTAATGTTGGACTTTCAGATGCTTAAGACACAATGCTCAATTCGAACATGTACGCAAACATTTGTTGTGCTTTACAATGAAGAGCCAATTCCTGCAGAGGTTAAACTTCCATTTACTTTAATATCATTGGTATTAGATAGACACAATGACTTGTCTGGCATTCCTTCAAAACTAAATGGAAAAGGAAAATGAGAGGCAACAATCTTTGTCGTGAACAAACACTGTGATTTTATATTAGAAAAAAATCTCTATTGTAAATTTTATTAAAAATTGTGCAATAATTGCTTAGAACTGTTTGTTTCTTCATAGGACATGCAATAGTGCGGAAAATTCTTTTTACTCTTTTGAATAATGTGCAACTTCCTGAGATCTTACCTGATAATCATAAAAGAAATAGCAATACTAAATCTTTGTTATGACTTTGAATGTTTCGTATGAATCTTTTAATTCTCATATAAATGCTTTTAGGCTTATCCTTCAAGTAATGGCAGTAATGCCTCATTATAGATTATCGATTTAAATAATGCCTTATTATAGATTGTTGTATCAGATTTATCGTTTTTATCTCTTCCTCGGATATCAGCACGACTAAGGATTCCTGTTGAATCGATAACAAGTACAAGTTATAGCTTTTTCTGTTTACCTTAATCATTTTTTCTTACATAATCCATTTATTAGTACATATCTGTCCCTGTGATAATCGGATTCTTCGCTCAATTATATTTGATTTTATGGGCACCGATGCAGAGATATGTTATCTCATTTCAAAAAATCATCAACTCATGAATGCTTTTTCTTTTTTTTCCAAAATTTAACAATAAATTCCGCTTGCTAAACAGAATATAGAATTTCAATTTGCATCAATAAAGACTTGTTTCTTGAAAACTTATTCCTTTTTTTTTCAGCATTATTACCAGGTAGTGATGAGAAATCACAGTGGTGGATTATACGTAAGTGTAAGATTCATTTTTTTTAAAGAGCTTAGCTAAGGAAATTTAATAGTTAATATAACGAACATTTTGCAAGATCAATTTGTTGGTAATACATATGATATGATGGTATTTTCATTGAAAATATACTTTGATGAAAGCAATGGTAATGTTTTTTCTTTTTTTTTCCCCCCCCCCCCTTTTTTTTGTTCTTGGATATTTGCAAGCTGAACATAGGAGCGGCGAAGCTGATATCAATTGATTACAGTTCGTAGAAAGAGATACAAATAATGTTTTTCACCTTGAAAGTCTAAGTTGTAATGATAATAATGATAGAAATAAAGAAAGAAAATGATTTCAACTGGACAGAAAAGAAAATGAGCAAATATATTGTTAACAAATATATCTAAGTTGAATAGCCATTTTAATAAAATAGGCTTCATCATCCCATTACGGAATCACAAATTTAACTATTTAGTTCATATTCTAGCTGTGGTACTTGGTGTAGCTGCTAGTATCATCGCTGCTGGATGGCTTTGCTTATTTGTCTATTACAACAGCTGTGGTCGACCATATACTACATCTGCCGAGAAACCTCTCATACATACTATTTTTTGAAAGACAAATTCATCCAAACTGTCGAAAATGACAACGGAGGCAAGTACTTTGACGTTCAACCACGGGATACTGAAAGTAACAAAAAGAAGAGGTATAGCGTTTCTTGGCTTATGCTCTCCTAGATATTGAATTTGCCGAGAAATTTCTAATGCATACCATGTTCTAGAAAATAATTTTTGTAGAAATATTAAATTAAACTTGAATTTCGAATTATTACATATATATATATATACATATATATATATATATATATCTTGTGGCATACTTTATTATTATAGTCTCAAAACGATATCCACCGAAAATGATCCATCAAACAGAATGCAAAGAACAGTGAAGGATGCTTCAGTAAAAGGTAATGATTTGAGAATGAAAACTAAGGGAAAGGGTTGTTGGAAAAGCATATTTTCAGGCGCTATATCGGAAGTCGCAGTAGTAACAACTTCAGGAAGCATCAGTATGCAAGATGTCACAGCGATGGATTCTGATCGGAAGCAATTAGATTATCCAATCGGCATCATAACTAGACCAAGTTTGAATGTTTTCATATTATGATGTATTGTAGAGATATTTTTTAGAGATAAGGATATATAAGTACTTCTTTTACTAAAACTGCAGGAAGAAGAGAAGATTTGAGTATTCATAAACTGGAGGCTCGGAGCGATATATCATTGCCTACATTGAAGGAAATTTGTGCAGAGGTAATGCACCATGAAGTTTGCGTATTTCGGTACAGCATGACCTTTATCTCCTCTTATTCATATATCTTGAAAAAGAATTCAATACTATTCAATTAATATAATTCATGTTCAGGAAAAACCGCATCCACATCCAATTCCACCAACAGCATCCGGTATTCTGGAAGTTAGAAGTCTTACTGAACAGATGTATCGCAATCCAATGAACTGTTTATAAATACATCTTCAAAAGTTAGCTGTTAAATTGGAAATGGATACTAGCATCAATTACTCAGCAATAATCGGTAAAACACATAATGGTTTATTATAGGAACCGTACAACACAATTTCTACGGGATACCTTTCTCCATGTTCTCTTGTCCATTCTCAAGTTTTTGTTAAACATTCACTAATTTTGCCGGACATTTTTAGAATAAAAAAGAAAAAGACTAAAAAATACGTAAATAATTTAACATTTCAGTTCAGTTTACCATTCCGTTAATTGGTTACTTTTGATTATGTTACAACAAGTTGTTCTTCATTTCTTTCTTATGACATAGTAAACCTTCACCGAATTAATTATGAAACCAATGAGTAATCAGTGAAATTGATACAATTAAATATTAAATAACGGGAATAATTTAAGAGACACAAGCACTTCATTAGGGACAGGTAGTGAGAGATATGAAATATGTTACTGATAGTGTAACTATAAAAGAATTTTATTACAAACAATAAAAAAACACGCTTGTTTGTGATGAAATGCTGTTGTCCATGAAAGACCGCAATAATAAGTGAAATGAATTTTTACAATTATGAAGAGATTGCTTGAAAAAGGCAAAAATACAACTGTATGATACGAATTTTTCCCATGTATCAATTCTATTTTTGCAATACAACTTGTATCAATCACTTAATGAAACTATGGTTGATCAAATTTTTGTTCCACGAATAAGGAAATAATGGAACTAGGAAACAAAACAAAATTCTTACCGCTTATTTTACTTGCTACTAATAGGACAAAAGACCTCAAAAAAGGTCGACGGCCTAACGACCATTACTTGACTACTGTCCACATTGAGACAGTATTTAGACAAAATACGAACAATAAACAAATCAGTTACAAGTTATAAGGCGGAAGGAACTTGTAAACAAGTCGTTGCTTTTTCTCCGGTTTCTGAATAATACCCTTCTTGTAATATTGTCGCAGCGATCGTGACAATTTATCATAATTCATCTGGGCTCGATTTTTGCGCTGACCCCAAAACGAGCCAGGTGGTGCGACGATTCTATTTTGAAAGTCCCTGAAATTGAGCACTAATCCCATCCATT